GGTTTTCGTCGCTTGGCAACGACGTTGTAAAACAAGCCAATTCACTTCGTGAACTCGGCAACCAAGTTACCTTTCTTTTTTTTTTTGTACCTCCTTTTTTTTTGGCGGTTACCATTATTGTGGTCGAGTAGATCATTTTGTGCGGGGTGGAGAAGCCTCACTCTGCGCAAGGGGGATGATCGCACCAAGTTGTGTTAAAATGGTCAAGCACCCTCGAGGCAGTTACACAGTGCTTACAAAACTTTATCTGGAAGTGAAAGCACCAGAGAATAAATTAAGTCATACGCAGCTGTCATCCGTACGCAAGGAAGTAAGCACAAGATGCCGAAAACCCTTAGCAGGATGCAGCGCACCCTTCATGCGACTCGCCGAATATCTCACGACGCTTCGCGCTTCGTGATGTGAGAGCCTGGTCCGGTGAGAACCCGGCGTGCTCCGTCCCGGCTTTGTAGGGATGCGAGGTCAATGGTCTAACGACTATGGCATGCACGACTATGAATACACCCACCCCCTTTGTGTCGGTGAATTTGTTCGGCACCAGGTGCAGAAGGCGAAGGAAGCAAAGAAAAACGCCGCGGCTGCTCCGGCCAGCAAGAAGGACAAGGTCGTCGGCAATTCGGCCACGGCGACGGTGCGTTTGATAGACCTGCACATGGTACTTGACTGACTGCTCTTTTGCACCGCCTTGCCAGAGGGAAAAGCCGGGTTTTGGCGGGGGTTGAGGGTTGCTGTCTTGTGCATGACAGTGAAGGAAGGGCAGGCCTGGAAATATTCGCCCAAGAGACTTGACGCGGTGTGGCTCCCGATGTCTGTTAGTGCCGTCAATTCCAAGCGCTTTTGTTGTTGCTGTTGAGAATGAGGGAGGCGTGCCGGAGGCGTGCCGAATGCAACAATGACGATGGTAGCAGTGCTGTTACGGGGCGAGAATGTGGTGCTTGCTGACCGATACGGAACACCGTCAGCATCACCGCCGTTGGTGATGATCTGTATCGCACGGCGCTAGGTGTAGCGTGACCCCAATTTGGATGTCAACCTTTTTGCCGCCCCAACGTCGGCGCCTTGCCACGCATATCGGATTTGACGCGCGCGGTTTACGTTCTGATTCACGTGGTTTGTCGGTCTCCGCTCCCAACACTTCCCAACACCTCCCAACGGCTACCGCGTCCACCTTTCGATCGTGTTACTCTTATCATTCCAGGCGGAGGTTGATGTGAATACCCCTGTGGAGCTGTCTTCTCTCGTGTCTTCGACCGATCTGCCTTTGCGAGAAGGAGAGGAGCAGGACAAGCGGGAGCGTTTCTACCTCACGACGGCGATCAACTACACCAATGGTGAGGGTCGTGAGAGTGAGAGTTTGACATACAGCAGTGTCGAGCAAAGGAGTCGGGCTTCTTTGGTTGGCTCTCGGTGTGCGGTTGCGTTGCGGTCAGCAAGTCGGACGTGTGTGTGTAAGTGTACATTGTCGTGTGTGCGTCGTGTGTATGTCGGCCCATTGATGTATGTATATGCTCGTTGTTCTTGCCACATGTACACCTTCGACAAGCGACGCTCATTCTGGAAGAATGACAAAATCGCCTCTTTGGTCGCTTCACCGCAAGACCTATGCATACAGCTCGCCTTTTGTACGCATCACAACCATTGAGTGAGTATTCCTTCTCGCCGTGTTAGACGTTTTGTCGCCCAACCACGAAGGTACATGTGTGCAAATCCGTTTCTAGCGTTGTTTCACGTTCATCTGTCAACCTCCCGCGGCCCTTATGCTCCTGAAGCTAGTCGGCGAAGTCGGACGTGCTTCACCTGGCGTTGGCAGGGATCGAAAGGATCCACATCGTCGCACCGAAAACACTTGGTTGCTGAATGCCCTCTTTCCGATTTCCCGCCCAGCATACTATAAAATGCTAGAACTTGACCCCTCTTCGCCCGCCCGTCAGGGGAGCCGCACATCGGCCATGCCTACGAGGCGATCGCCTCCGACGTTTTGTCGCGGTATCAGCGTATGAGCGGAAAGAGGGTCATCTTCCAGACCGGCTCCGATGAGCACGGGCAAAAGATTGCCAACACGGCCGCGAAACTGGGGTTGCAACCCATTGACATCTGCGACAAGTATGCGGGTAAGGATTTGTGAACTCGTTGGATTGGTGTTTCTATTGCGTAAAGCATAGCTCCCGAAACCTAAAATTCAATAACAGGCGCCATGACAGCGTATGTATGCATGATCCATACCATAGGAAGCACGTGTCAACCACTTGATTTTTTGATTTATTAAAACGCCTCTGGGATATCCCTACCAGCCATCGTGTGTGCGTCCTCGTCCGACTCGAAAGGCGTATATACGCCAGCGCTGGCGAGATTTCTGCACGCGCCAGCTCAACAATGTTTGGGTTGTGATTGGAGGTAGACATGAAACCAAAGCCACAGAAGGTTTCCAGCCCTCAGGNCCCCCCCCCCCCCCCTCTCTCTCATCATTGACTAAAGGCAAGTTCCAAGAACTGAACAAGAGGCTGCTGATATCGAACGACTTGTACATGCGAACGACGTCGGCCCTGCACAAGGAGACCAGCCAGAGGTTGTGGCAGATCTGTGCCGACGCGGGCGACATCTTCCTGGGCAAGTATGAGGTGAGGCGTGCTGAGTGAGGGAGGGAAGAGGGGAGCGGGAGGGGAAACGGGAGAGGGGTTATTGGAGTAAGCTGCGCTCACGCGGCTGCTGCGCAGTTTTTTCACATCCCCTGACTGCACCTTGGAGGGTGGACGCGACTGCAAGTCGCCCCTGTTCTTGGTGCGGATGCACTTGTACTCTACCCAATTATATAAGTGTTCATCGTATGGTAGTTGTATACTATCACACGCTTCACACCGAGGAAGGTTCAGTAGGGCATGATAGTCTACGCAGCAAAATCGATTAAGCAAACATATGGGATAAAGTATTCAATCCGTGCTTTGGGATTAGGGTTGGGGTTAGGGATAGGGTCTGCGTGCCCCCTCCCTATTCTTTTTCTAGATACTCTTAAAATCCCGCGTAGGCGGTCCGTAGGGCAAGTGCAAGAACTGATATTTTCTCTCGGCTTTTCCCCGTGTCGCTTTTTGTCAACCGTGTTTTGGATGTATTTGCTTGTTGCCGTGTGTACCCTCTGGTGCCTCTTTGGCGTGGCGCCATCCGACGGTTTCAGGGTTGGTACGACGAACGGGAGGAGAAGTACGTTACCGATAGCGACGCAGAGCTTGCCGACTTCAAGGATGCCTTTGGATCCCCCTTGAAGCGCATGAGCGAGGCCTCTTACTTCTTCAAGATGGGCAAGTAAGTCAAGAGCCGAGCAATACAATGGTCGCAGTCGCTGGTCGTGCTTTGTGATAATAACATGCGGCGGATACCATATTTCAAACACGCGGCAAGTCTTGGACCTTCTCGACACTGCTGAGAACCGTGTACCTGTGCATGGCGGTAGTAACGAAGCACGGCAGTTGGTATTTAGTCTGCGACTATAGTTTCCGTGCGGCACTATCGTCGATAGCTTTCTGATTCGCGCTTTTTTTTTGCTCGCTCAGTCTTTTGGTTTGGAGAAATCGATCGAGCTCAGCAATAGGTATGGGAAATCAACCTACGGTGGTGTATGACAAATTCTCACAACCTTATTCAGATCCACAGTGTACGGCGTGGTGATATTCCCACGATAAAAAATGATACAGACCAGCAGCCTCGTTCATATGTCGCAAAACGAGCCGTTGGTCGTCGGTGAAGACTTTCTTTGGTGTGTTGCCGTAGGGTTAGGAAACGTTCATGTGGCGACATCCCAACAACAACGCTACACAACAACAAATCATGCACAACAAATGATCATCATGACATGATGAAGATAATCGCAGCGCTATCTAATGTTGCACCGGCGGTTCCACCTCGTACGCCCTGCACTATCAATAAATGCTTGCATGATTCTTTTTAATTCAATCGAAGGTACATCGAGTGGCTGATCCATTACATCACGGACAACCCGTCCTTCATTCAGCCGGAGACACACCGCCTTAACATCCTCACACGCCTCCAGAACGGACACCAGAATGACCTGAGCGTGTCTAGAACAACCTTCAAGCACGGTAAGAGAGAGAGAGAGGAAGAGAGGAAGAGACAGGCACACACAGAGAGAGAATAATTCCGTCAAGTTTCGAAATAATCACTTCGGGGCTGGTATTCTACGTGACCGATCGAGGCGACAATCGTTATCATTTGTTTGTTTCCCGTTTTTGGTTCGTTTTTTGTCTTGTCCTAACCCCTTTATCTATATGCGCATCCCATGGGAATTCCACGTGTGTTTCTTTTTCTTGCCACCAGGAATCCCCGTCCCAGTAGGCTTCGACCAGGCTCACGTGATGTACGTGTGGTTCGATGCTTTAACGAACTACCTCTCAGGGATTCACGCTCTGGTAAGGCGTGGAGGGCATCCATCGTCTTGTGGTGAAGTTTCGATCATGGACTTCGTGCAAAGATGGCGGCACTTAAATGTAGTTTTTCATCTTGTGACGACTACAACCCACGGACGAGAGTCCCTCCCGAGTTGAACACTCGCTGGAGGCAGAGGAGGTGACAGACTTGACTGCTGCTATTGTCCTTCTTCATCGTTCCGGGTGTTACCGCAGCCAGCAGATGTATGACTGGGGTAAGGTGGCAATCATTATATTTTTCTGTTGTTTTTCGTGGTTCTTGGTTATTTTATTTGTAAAAGGGCGACCACGACGATATACTACGATCGGAGGCTACCGCCAGCACACAAAAAGAGCAACCGCCGCAGAGGTTTGAACCATGTTACGCATGGCATTCCGTCCGTTGTTGTGCAGGACTCGGACAACCCCATGTCCGCGTTCTGGCCGGCGTCGGTGCACGTGATCGGGAAGGACATCACATGGTTCCACTGCGTGATCTGGCCTTGCATCCTCAAGAGCGCCGGCCTGGCCTTGCCCAAGACCGTCTACGCCCACGGTTTCGTGGCGGCTGCCGACGGACGCAAGATGAGCAAGAGCCTAGGCAACGTCATCGACCCCCACGATATCTGTGACCAGTGAGCGTTTTGCTTTGCTTTTTTTTTTCTGTTTGGCCAAAGGTCGTATTCTTCTTGGGGTAACTCCTAGCCAAGGACCATACCATGTTGAGTACACCCAGTGTCTATCGCAGATATGTTTGTCTGTGCTGATTCGTTGAAAACGGTGTCCCGATAGTCTTGGCTTACCTTGGATTTGATCAGGTTGTGCGGTACCATATGTTGCATGGGAGTTGAATTCCCGGCAGGCGGTGCCTTGAGCACGAACGGTTTCGCGTGTCGGCGTTGGCGTCGGCATTGTCTCGTCTTGCAGGTACGCGGTGGACACGTTCCGGTGGTACATCTGTCGCGAGGCTATCTTTGGGTGCGACCTGTCCTTCAGCAAGAGGGCTCTCGTTCTCGCCCACAACTCGGAGCTGTGCAACACCTTCGGCAACCTTGTGCACCGCTCCCTCTCGCTCATGCACAAGTACAACAACGGTAAGCTTGATGACCATGGACACTTCTTCCTACACCCCCTAGTAGAACCAATATAAATCTGGTGTGCTTGTAGCTACCGGACGATTGAGTCCATTTCGTTTCGGTAGGTATTTTCTACGCTGAGCTCTCCCGACCCACCTACCTGGTCCATTCGTGTTTACTTAAATGTTATTCCTCGGTTGTTCTTCTTTCTCTGTCCCTTTTGACACACCATTGAAATTTGAAGGGAATGTGCCGGAGCGACAGCTAGGGTTCGATTTCTTCCCGTTCGACTTTGCTGCCACGAGAAGACACGTGGATGCCGCCATGACGAACTACGCTCTGCAGGTATGTTTGTGTACCCCCGTGACCACCCACGGAGGTTGCCGTGCCCACCCACGGTATGATGTCTGTCTGGAGACTATCTTGACCCAGAGGACCGATGCAGATGATATATATCCTTGATTAACACACACGTGCTTTCCAGCACGGACCGAAGTCAGCACAGGTCCTGTTTCAGTGAACACAAGCGCGGGCTCTCACGAGGGGGCCCGCACTTGGACCCCCAACAGTATACCCCCCGCACATATGTTCTCTGCAGATCGGATCTTGTATCCAAGTACCCCAAACAAGGTACTAATCATTGGCCGTTTTTTGTGAGGGTGCATGCAACCGTGCGGACAGATATGAATTGCAATAATGTCTGACTGAAGAATTACTTGATGTTTGTTAGGGTGGTGTGTGGGCGTTTCTTGGCCCACCTAGAACTGCACTCGTTTTGTGGAGGCAGTTGAGATGGTACATTGGTAAGATACAACCATCTTTGCCGAAAGTTCCTTTTTTTTTGTCTTTTCGAATATGTCTCAAAAACTTGGCCTTAGTAGGACAGAAGGTGGTGGGACGATTTACTCCAACATCTCCTCGACCGGTGACCAGGTTTCATCAGGCTTGTCTGCCATCGCATTTGCCATGTGTGACTGACTGTCAAGAACGCGCTGTGTGCGCGCTTTCTGACGGCACGTAAATATCACGCCTTGCCCCCCTCCTCTGATCGAAGGATGCTTGCGCGGTGGCTATGGAGGCCCTCCGAGAAACCAACAAGTTCCTTCAGGAGTCTGAGCCATGGATGAGGAAGGGCGACGAGGACAGGCCGTACCGGTTAGAGTGCGTCAGGGTTTGCCTCGAGGCGGTGTACTGCGTGGCTCACTTGTTGGTGGCGTTCTTGCCCACCGCTTGCACACGCGTCTTCGAGAAGTTAGGTGAGGGGGGTTAAACGTCACTACTGACGCTCTCGTTGTTGTTAATTGTTGTTGTTGTTGTTTTTGTGGTTGTAGTTGTTGCAGTTGTAGCAGTTGTAGCAGTTGTTTGATGTGTAGTTGTTGTTGGCGGTATTAGCGATTGTGGTATGGTATGGTATGGTATGGTATGTACACGGCACACGGGACCTGTTCGCGTGAACCTTAACGTTTCGCTCGCGTGCTCATAGGTATCCTGAACATGGTAAGCAAACTTGAGAGCTCAAGTGTTCGTCTCCCTCGGACGGTCGGTGTTGGAGGCTATGCATACATGATTTCACTCCCATTCTGCCGCCCCACCCCCACTCATCCCTGTTCCCCCTCTGCAGGCCTTCCGCCAGTACCAATCGCCTCTCTCAAGCCCGACTTCAGCAACATCCCTGCTGGGACCAAAGTCACCGTGGGATCCATTCTCTTCGGAATGCTGGACCTGCCCGATGAAGTTGCCGCAATTCCTGCCGCTCCGGGCGGTGCGGGCGAGCAGCTGCAGACTCAGAAGGCGGCGAAGCCGGCGGCGGTAGTGGTGGCCAATGGCGGCGGCAGCGGCGGTGCAGGGGGGCAGGAGGCTGAGGGGGACCCCTTTTCGAGGATTGAGATCAAAGTGGGCAGGATCACGAAGGCAAGTCCTATTATAGCAGTGATCGTGTCGAGTAAATCGTGTCGGTGAGGTCGAGGAATAGTTGTTGGGGGGTCTTGACAGCTATCGGTCAAGCAACAAGGTGGAAGCACCTGTCTGTGCTTGTTGCCGTCGATTTTCGTCGCTTGACCTGTATCGGTCTGTCCCACCCCCCCACCCCCCCCCCCCCCGCGCGCTCTCTCTCAATCCTGGTCTCTCTTTCCCGCTCTCAGTCTTGGTCTCTCTCCTTTCCTCTCTCGGTCTTGGCGCCACAAGCAAGCGGTTGCATATTTGTGTTTTGTTGCGCGGGCGATGTTTGTTTAGTGCCTTCCTTCATGGCTGCAACGTTCTGTTGTCGCCACTCAAGCAGCAACCAGGGGGGCAATGTTGGCAGTAAGACGACATCTGCAAGGCCTACGGTAGATGCATTGAAGGATGGTGGGATGGGGCTTCTGTGCTTTCGTCCATTGCATGAAATCACGTGACACGCCTCAAGGTGGACATGTTTGCCGTAAATAAAGGCGCGGCAACAAGACAGACCGTTTCTGTATCGATCTCCACCACTAGGTTTCATATCTTTGAGACAACAAGGCTTGGCTTGGCAACAAAAACGACAACTGCAACAATAATACCCTCTCCCTTTTTCATCCCCGACGCCTGGGTTTCCAGACGGAGGCTTGGTTCTAATGTCGCTACAGGATCAAACCCGGCCGTAAGGATAGCGCGTACCAGGGAGGGAAGACAGGGGGGCTATTATTAGTTCGTGACGAATGGGCGTTGAGCAGTCCTCGTTTTTCATGACCACAACCACAACAACGATGTTAACCACAACGACAACATCAGGTGTGGAACCACGAGAGTAAAGAGCACCTGTACTGCGAGGAGATCGATGTGGGAGAGGGGGAGCCGAGAGCCATCGCTAGCGGTCTGAGAGAACACTGCACTCCGGAGGAAATGCAGGGAAGGCTGGTGCTGGTCGTGTGCAACTTGAAACCGGCCAAGTTTGCCGGGTTTGCGTCGAACGGAATGGTGCTTGCGGCCAAGTCTGCGGATGGGAAGGTGCGCCCGGACGTCTGCATTTCTCAGCAGGCGTACGTGTGGAATTACCCAATTATTTTGTCATCGTTGATGTTGGTGCCATTAAAGCGGCTGGGGAGACTTTTTGGCTCTTGTGATGGCTTGGTGGAGACTGTTGTTGTCGTGCAACAACGCAATGATGGTAGACACGCTTTTGGCGGCGCTGTGTGCGCGATTGTTTTTGGTCACTGCTACCTGCGAATCACTGCGTTGTGCTGCAGGTATGCCGCGCACGTTTCATGACATGACGCTGTGAGACACCGTCACCATTGTCCGTCATCATTATCATTCGGTGATGATGCGATAAAACCCGCAGCATCGGCCTCTTGCTTATGGTACGAAACACCAAACCTGCCTGACTGTGATGGGCTCGACGCAGCTCTCATCCAGATCTAATTTCGCAGTCAATCATTCCCTCCAGCCTAGTATCTCTTACCGCTACCTATTTGCCGAAACGTAGGTGCTCTGCGGTGATTTGTTCTCACCGATTGTGCGCGCCCAGCCTCAACAGGATGTGCCACGAAATACAATCGACATGTCTTGATTTTCACGCGATATTTCTCGTTCTTGGAATGTTTCATCTTTTTCGAGATCAGGTGGAACTTGTACGACCCCCCGAAGGGTCTGTGGTAGGAGAGAGGGCTCGAGTCGAGGGATCGGAGGGGGAGCCTTTGACGCCAGCTCAGGTAGTAGCGAACACGAACCCGAGGAAACCGTGTTGTTTCATGTGTCGTCGTTTCTGCTGCTGCGACTGCTGCTTGTGACTTGTTGTTGTTGTTGTTGTTGTTGTTGTTGTTGTTGTTGTTGTTGCCAGTTACATGTGGATGCCCTGTAGAAAGGAAGGAACGCCGCCGGACCACATGAATAGAACTGCATTGGCAATGTACCAAGTCACCGTGTGTCGTCACGCCCGCAGGGCGTGTACGTTACTCTCTAGCTGTTCCAAGCATCGGTAGGTCCCGGGTTGGACACGGCTAAGTTGACATTTCGATATGACAGTAATATCCACGTGTTGCTGATTCCGCTTCCTTTACATTGTTGAGCTTTGTTGAACCACATTGCTGGGGTTATTCTGTCTGTCGATTCGTGCCAGGTGAAGAAGAAGAAGGCGTTCGAAGAGCTGGCCAAGCACCTCCGAACAGATAACGACAAGGTGGCCACATATCAGGGGAAGCCCATCACCACTTCCGGTGGCGCGTGCACGGCAGATACCGTGGCTGGGGGCGAGCTCTCTTGAGCATCCATCCGGTCTATTTTAGGGGGATCCAATGCATACCTTGTTTTGAGCATATGTGTGACCTGTCTTGATCGAAGGAACGCCGTGTAGCTGTCGGTTGGTGTAGCTGTCGGTTGGTGCTGTCGTCGGTCGGTGCTGTCGTCGGTCGGCATTGTTTCATTTGATCTGATTTGATTTTATTTGTTCTATCGATCGTTCATTTTCTTGTGGGTGTGTTTCGGTGCACAGCACACGGCAAACTGGACGTGTCTCGACTGCGACGAATGAAAAGATTGCTCGAAGTTTTGCGTCCTTGTTGTGGGTGTCGCCGTGTTGAAGTTGGCATGCTAGCGTGATTGTGTTTTTACAGCAGCAGGATACTTTTCAGTTGATTCAAGTATTATGTCGTGACATTGCCCGCCTTCCCTGGTGCAAGGGGAGGAGATTCGAAGAGCCGAGATCGAACAAACAAACTAGTAGGAACATTGTCCCAAAAAAATCTGGATGTTCGCCGTTGCATGTAGCTGACACCCACCGGCAAGGATTCCGGCCAGCCAGATTTCAGCGGTACTGTATTTGTTAACCAAAAGGACTGCTGGCACTATTTGTCTAACGATTGCCTTTCGCGGGGTTTTTCACCTCTCCTCTTTCTTGTCTTTGATGTACAGTAGTAGAGCATATCGCATCTTTGACGGCGGCGGCACCGCTGTTGTTGTCCTCAGGTGTCACGAAAGGAACTGCGTTTGTTCGTAGTCTGTCGTGCTGCGCTTCAAAGTGGATTGATCGCTACAGGATTGACCCTTTTGGATGTGCATTTAGCGACTGAATTTTGATGATCGAAAAGTCGTAGCTGGGTTGTCTCCTCTTCGCTGTACCAAGGCGAACGCGATCGCGTTTGCAAGGGCTGTGCGAGACATTTCGCAAAGCAAGTTGCATCATTGCACTTGCCATGCACAGCGCAAAATGGCTCATCAGCGTACCTCAAGGCGCCCCGTCTATTTCCCCGAAAATGGCACGATCTTCTGGGCCACAGGACATCTAATCCACCCCGAAGACAAATGCCTTCCAGCGCCCGTCGAAGGACCACTTGAGTTTTAGAGTCGACGTTTATCCCCTTTGCCCAGGCCTGTGTATTCGACGGGACTCCGCATGACCCACTCAGCAACATGTCAACCCCCCCACACCCCACACCCAACGCCACGTGCGAAGATGGTTGAAATTATCAAGGCTCCTCTCGGGAATATTCCCGCGGGAAAAATACCGCGGTATTTCCACGGGAATGGGAAATGGGAGCGTTCCCGTGATAAATCGCAATTCCCATTCCCATCCAAACCGTTACCAAGCAAATGACCGCTTCCCATTCCCATCCAAACCGTTACCACGGAGATCATATCCCGTTGTTCCCACCCAACCAAATACCGTGGAAAAAGTCGAATTCCCGTGGCTTTTGGTTCCCACCCATACAAATACCGTGCACAAATTCAATTGCCAATACCGTACGGGAATGTTAAACCAATTCCCGTCATGTATATATGTACTTCAATACCGTGGAGCAAGGTAGCTTAGAGGGTTGCATATAATCCTCAGGCGGGTGGCAGGTCGGGGGTTCGATTCTCTGTCTCTCCCTTCTTTTTTTTCCCCCTTTTTTTATTATTCTGTCAAACGAAAAGAGAACCTTTTCAACGAAAAAGAGAACCCTTTTGTTAACACACCCGCCCGCGGAGGGCGAAACACAAACACAACACCAAGAGTGTGAACTGCTATAGACACACAAGAGGGTGATGAGCGAGGTGAGCGAGGTCCAACATGTTGATGCTGAGGTGGATGCTCCTGACGCCGATTCTTCGATCGGTGGTGGTTCAGCAGCACCTGTGGCTGACGATGGACGTGTGGTTCCGCAGCTTGACGGTGCAGCAGAGACCAGCACGCTCCACTCGAACAACGGGACGCAAGTGGTTGTCACGATTGTCCCACAGACAAGTGGGAAGAAGACCAAGAGGTCGTGGGTCTGGCAGGTGTGTCGCGAGTTCAAGCCTCTCATCAACGGAAAAAACGTGTTCTGCATGGCATGCAAGCATCTCATGCTGTGGAAACCAGCTGATGGCACGGGCGGCATGAGCAGCCACTACAAAAAGAAACACCCCGCCCTGTACAAGGCGCTGATGGACGACCACACCACCACCGCTCAAGGGAGAGCCAACGTCGCCGCGGCCGTCGGTGAGTGGGTGGTTGCGCAAATATGTGTATTGTCTCTCATTGCTGCGGGTACAATCTGGTGTTAGAAAAAAAAACAAAAAAAAACAGAGTGTGCGAGAACAAAAAATCACTCTCTCTCTCTGTGCTCCTTCCTCTCTGTGTGGTTTGTTGTTCGTTTTGGTTTTCAAGTTTTTTTTTTAATATATATTTATTTTTTATTTTTTTAGATTCTTCTAGAGAAGAAGGTGTCAACTGAGACGCCCTCCACTTGGGTCCCAAGTACATGTAATTAATTTATAAATTTGCAGCTATGTTTGTAGTTTGTAGTTGTTTTATTGTCTTGTGTAGGATTTATGTTCTCATTGCGCAGTTTAGTACAGAGTTGTTATGTAGGTAATATGTATCGCATATCATGTATTATTGAAATCTTGTTCATTTCATTTGCGAGTATTGTTCATCTCCAAGACAACACTACACATAGTCCAAACCTGATCTCTCCCGGATTTCTTTTTATTTGCCTGTGTGTTCGCTGCACATTTTTTGTGTTGGCTGTTTTCAAATATAGCGTTCGATCCCAAGCCCACGGGAAAGGCGACGGGCAAGGGCAAGGGCAAGGCCGGGTCGTCGACACCATCCATCAAGGACTACATGCAAACCGGCAACCCGCTGCTTGCGTCGACGGAAGCGGCGGCCAATCGCCGGTTCGTCGTGTGGTGCGCCATCAACATGAGGCCGCAGAACATGCGCTACGACGATGGCTACAAGCTCCACATGGGCATGCTATGCCCCAAGTACGTAGAATCGACGATGTCCGACGCGACCTTCAACTCCATCCTGTCCACCATCTACACCGAGACATGCGACGCAGTCAAGACGGGCTTGCGTTTGCACCGGGAGTCGTGTGTGAAGCTTGGTTACGTCGGCCCTTTCCTCGGTGCCCAGCTGGACCTCACGACCGTCGCCAACGAGGAGTACATCACGTTCTCCGTGTCCTACATCGCTGAAGCCGCAACAACGATCACGCGCGTCGGGTTGGCAACACGAGCTTTTCCTGGCTCTCATACCGCTGCCGACATCGAGCCATGGATCGAAAAGGCGAGCTTTACAACCTTCAAGTTGGTTTGACGTTTAGTACGGAATTCGGTATCAATGTCAAATGCAATATAGAACTAGTTGCATATGCCCACCCAAGACTGTTACCCAGGTTTTTGGGTTTTTCTTGTCGCGTTGAAATGCCTCGCGTTGCTCGTGTGTGTGTGGTTGTGGTACACCAGTTCTTGTGTTTTGAAAGGGGAGTTCCCAATGTTCAATTTTGCAATGCGGATTTGTATTTGGTATTTGGTATTTTAACAGTTATTCTTTTGTATTTTGTATTTTGCATTCTACATTTTATATTTTGAAACCAACTGACTTTGTTTGGATCGGCCTTGTGTTTCTTTGTTTGGATCCGCCTTGTGTTCATGCAGCTGACGACGGAGTTTTTCGCGGACATGATGGGAGAAAACGTGCAGCCGAAGGACGTCTTCCTTGCTTTTACTGTAGACCAGGGCGGCAACGTGGTAAATGCTTGCCGAAACTTGGATGTTGAAGTTCTCAAGTGCAACGCCCACCGGCTCAACTCCGTCACGATGTGGGCCTTGGGGATAAATGGTTCCATCAGAACGGGCGAGAACCCAGCCATGGAAAAGCTGATGAAGAGGCTGGCGGCGGTAGTAGGGGTGTTCAGCCACTCCGCGGTCAACAACGACGAGCTCAAGGACATCCAGAGACTGCAAGAAGAGTTCCAGATCATCTACGAACTAATCAGGCGCAACGACACGAGGTGCGTATAATACTCCGTACCCACATAATCTGTGTTTGATATTACATATTACGATATTGCATCGTTTCGTGTTTTGTTTCTTGTTGTGCAGATCAATTAGCAGCGCCGTCGTTGAATACCCTGCACGTGCGTATTTAAACCTTAAAATCAGAAATAAATAAATACATCATTACCACGTGAAGCAGGTTCTGTTATTGTTCGGGTTGTGTGTCATAATATAATCGGAATGTGTTGTGTATTGATTGTGTACCAACAATTGTACCCAGCGCCTAACCCCTACCACCTCTCTCTTCAATTCCCATGATCTTTCTCTTATCCACCGACAACCACCAGGTGGGCCAGTCAACACGCTATGATGGTTCGGCTACTCAAGCTGAAGAAGGCAATCGTGGAGTACTTCAGGGACAACGAGAACAACAACCGGAAGTTGTCCTCGCGTGAGTGGACGGTCACGAACGAGGTTTGCAGCCTGCTGGACGTCGTGGCGGAGGTAACCGTCAAGATCCAAGGCGCCACCGACACCCACATCAGCCAGACGATGTTCAACATGCGCGAGATCAGGGAGATCTTCAGCGGAGACGTGTACAAGATCCGCGTACCAGACCAACCCTACAACGACGACAGCGTGTTGAAGGAAAAAATCCAGGTGGACGACCTGATGACCGAGACGTGTAAGGTACGGGAGGTTGTGCTCTCAAGGATGGAGAAGAAAGAGCTCGGGGCGGCAAGAATGCCCTTGGAGCGCATCTGCGCGCTGCTAGACCCGAGACGGAAGGATTGCTCGGACGAGCATCTCGTCAACGGCAGCGCAGATCTGAAGGCCTCTGCGATTGCTGACGTTAAGAGCGTGGCCAAGACGTTCGCGGAGGCCGATCTCGGGTCGGCGTCCTCATCCGCTGGGAGTGGTGGAGCGGGCGGCGGCGGAGAGTCCAACCAGCCTGCGCCCAAGAAGCAGAAGGTCCTCTCGGACCTGGAGGAAAGGCGACTCCAACGTCTCGCCAAGTCGAAGGCAGCTAGCGCCGGTAGAGCTGCACCGGCGGCAGTTTCTACAGCGAGGCGGGGCGCGATCGTTGAGCGGGAGCTGCGGATGTACTTGGCGGAAGACCCCGCCGAGGAGGAGTACGACTTCTCGCTTCTTGAGTTCTGGCAGCGGAGGAGCAAGCCCAGAACATGCGCCGAAACGGGCGAAGTCGAGCCAGGCTTGCCGCATTTGGCGCTCATCGCTCGGTTGTTCCACGGGATCGAGTCTACTAGCTGCCAGGCAGAGAGGAACTTTTCAGCCCTTGCGTTCCTGATTGGCAGCCTGCGCAGCTCTATGCTACCCGGCAAGGTAGAGCGACTGATGTTCCTCCGACTCAACAGGCTGTACATCCCAGAGGTCAAGGCCCTTCACGACGCCGTTGAGGCCAACAAAGCAGCGGCAGCTCGGTGCCAAGAGAAAGTTGCACAAGTCGAGGCGGAAGCAGCTGGCGACGCTGTCGTCTTGACACTCTAATATTGTGTTTAAGTGTTGTTTTACTCCAGTATTGTTTTTGAACTGCGGAACTGCTGTTGGCGAATAATATAGTGTACGGGCGGTATCATGTGGTTTAAGCATGCGTGTGTGCGTTGTCGCCGGTAATCTGGTAGTCTTCGTCTCGCAGATAAGTGTGGTGCCTTCGTCGGTCTTCACGTTTCGGTAGTGATTGTATTTCGAGGCGTAGCTCTAGAACTAGATCGGGAAATAGTTCGTCGTCTTTCGTCTTTCGGTAATTTGACAAGGAGCGCAGAGATATTTCGCCTGTAATCTCCAAACAATTGAACAAGAGAAGAAAACACACTTTACAGGTTCACTCCTTTGTGGTTTTGTTTTCTTCTTGTGACACAATATTTGGGTGTCACACGCACTGACAAGGAACCCTGTACTTCGCCGTGTGGGGGGGGTGCTACCATCCAACGTTACCGTGCATTACCGTGGTGGCCAGTTCCCACCCAACCAATTCCCGTGGTTGCTGGTTCCCGTACGGGAATTCCCGCGGTGGCCAATTCCCACCCAAATATTACCGTGCATTACCGTGGTTGCTGGTTCCCGTATGGAACGTTCCGTGGTGGCCAGTTCCCACCCAAATATTACCGTGCATTACCGTGGTGGCTGGTTCCCGTACGGAACGTTCCCAAAGTGACAAATCGTTCACGAGAGGAGCCTTGGTTTTTTCCACTAGTCTAAGGAGTATTCTAACCAGAAACGGGTATTATTTATACCCCGATAGATTATCAATCACCATTCATTTTATTCAGGGTACACTTCGAAATAAATCAAGACGACGCCAATCTCCGACAGCATCCGCCGTAGATCGCGGCGAAAACAGTGAACCGCTGTCTGTGTGCTATGTGTCCTGTGCCTCGGAAGCATGATGCACGAGGCAGGTCGTGCCCGTTTTTTTCTCTCTCTGTGCCTCTCTCTCCCTGTGTGTGTGTGCTTTTACTGATCAGTACCACACACACCGAACGAAGTGCTCGCGCGTCAAGCGAGCCCGAACCTCTGTTGAGAAGGGCCGGTATCCTGTGGAGGTGGTGCCCATGAACGATGAACGAGCGAGCGTTGTTGGTGGTTTGGTTGTGGTTATGTATGTGTGGTACACGACATGTGCGGCATAAGTTTTTTTCTGCGGGTTTTATGCTAGATGGAGCGTCGGGCGCCGGGATCATATGACCATTTCTGGGTACAAAATTGACCTCTTCTTCCAGGTGCTAGTCTAGTCAACATCAGTAACCACTATCGGTCAAACCAGAGGGTCCTAATTCCAGCGGAAGTGGTACCTGATGGAGGTTTCTTCAGAAAAGGGAACAATGGGTTTTCGGCCAATCAGCTGACAGCCTGGGGGTGCAAGCGTGTTGATTTCTAACTGTACCCAAGTGGTGAGAAAATACCCGTTTCTGGTTATTGGTCTTTTTTTATTTTTCTTAATATGACACAACGAGTCCATCTCTATCATAGAAAGGAGTCAGAGACAGATCAACAATGGAATCATAGCGTCAGAGAAAACTACCTGTGTGTCTACGGTTTCCCAGACAGCATATAGCGACATCATTGGTCTTTTCCATTTTTCACGCCCCCCCCCCTCCTGATAGTGCGGGACGCCCGCAATCGGGCCGCAGTTCGGCCTGATTGGCCTGATCCACGAGGAACGGGCCAGAACCGGATCTCGTGAGGTGTGTGCGCTGTGCCCTCCTCAGCAGTCTTGTGGACAACGCGCGTCCGGCATGCGCTGTGACTTGCCAACCAGATCCCCAGTGGTCACTTCCCGTCACGCGCAGGACTTCGTCCAAGCTTCACCAACTGGAACCTGCTTTGGTGAGCAGCACGTTGCAACGTATGCATATGCATGCATATGCTTGAACTGACACAGGCAGGGCGTCGATGCTATTTGAAGATACCCACAAAGCCGTGGAGTTTAGTGTTGCATGGCTGCTACTGTCGCGGCTGAACTCAAGCTATCATTTCATGGGTTTCCCTCTATTCCTTGTGTAGCTGTTGGTGTTCGGGAGAGTTGACATCGAAGAGCTCCGCTCGAAGAGTGAGAAATTCTCATGATCCGGCAACCATGGTCCGTGGTGGTAGGGGCCAGTTGAAACTTTGAACCTTGCACACGACGGTACCGCAGGTGCAAGATGGGACAAAAAATGATAAAACATCCAGCCCATTATGCCACCATGCACAACATACTGCTGCTTCCGTTCACCTGTCGCCACCCTTCCACGTCTACCTGTCCATGACACATGCTGCCACTTGGTGCGACAACATCTGCTAACAACACGGACACAGGGAGTACCCCCCCTACCCATACACACACCGTCAAAATTGCTTGTAAGCTTGAACAACCTCTCATTCCTCTCTTTCCGCATACAAGTCAAATGATGTGGATGCATGAAATAATACTCTGTCTTTACTTATGGTCCGCGCTGCCTACAAAACAGTGGGAAAGGTAGCCATACCTTCTGCCGACACACGGGCGAGAGAGGCGACAATACCCACTGCATTTAACACACACCCACATGTCGGTGATGAAACCCCAACCACACGCCTCTATCGGCGGCCACGTCAGGAGGCAATGATGAGATAATGTTCTCTCGTGCCCTTCTCACATTTAACGACATGCCATTACACAACACTGCTGTAAATATGTTCTCCCGCGTCGCATATGCCCCCATACTTCACACACAAAAAATAAGTTGATGATGAAAATATACACACCCCGAGACGCGCTTGCTCCGCACCCACATAGGGTGCCATAATAGAACGCCCGACAAACCGAGTTCCCCTAAATCTTCCGTCTACAACTTCCCAACATAATATACAGATAGATACACAAGATGGCTACCAAACTGCCTTGTTGAGCCTGTTACCCACAGGGGAGATATCGTTGTAGGAGTTTTTTCCACTCGCGAAGCGCGCGTGCGATAAAAAAAACGGAGCGATAGCGGAGTTTTTTNACCCACATAGGGTGCCATAATAGAACGCCCGACAAACCGAGTTTCCCTAAGTCTTCCGTCTACAACTTCCCAACATAATATACAGATAGATACACAAGATGGCTACCAAACTGCCTTGTTGAGCCTGTTACCCACAGGGGAGATATCGTTGTAGGAGTTTTTTCCACTCGCGAAGCGCGCGTGCGATAAAAAAAACGGAGCGATAGCGGAGTTTTTTTTTTCGCAAAAAAACTGTTTTAGATGGGTCCTTTTTGTAGATGGGACCTTTTTGTTTCCCCGCCTGGGTTCTGCGCACGTTGAATAACACCGCCTGTCAGCCCGACCCCTGAATTAATTACTGTTCTCAAATTGATATCCGTGTGTGTGTGAATGTGTGTGTGTGTTCGCACCACCTTTGCACCGATAAACAAGCCGTTTGAGGATCGTTTTCGGTGCGGAAAAGTGCACAAGCTGTAGCGTAACAAGGCCATCATTCCGCACCCAAGCGTTTCTCATTTCGTGCCCGCGTCGCTGCGTTCGGTGCCGATATGTACTCTATTCACAATCCGTTTCATCGATAACTGCGCCAATTGGCGACGTTCTGCAAAAAAAACGAGTGCCCAAGCCTACTCCTAATAGGTGAACACTTCTCGCGTCGTTGTTTCCTTGCACCAACCCCTAAGTCACTCGTTCACACCCGGTTTGTCCTCTCTTTGCGGCGTCCTTCAACGGTCATTTGGGACACGTGTGTGTCGGTTTGGTTCTGCTACTGCTGTGTTCTTTTTTTGACCTCGTCCACACCGAGTGGCCAACTTTGGCACGTGTTCAGACCAGCTACCACGCATCTCCTCCTCTACAGCTCGCGGCTTTCACTATCTGCATATCACAGAGGGTGTTCGCGTGTGGTTTGCAGACCACGACAGGGCGTAGTGAGGAGGGGCTCGCGATCGGCGACAACTCGCGTGCTAGTTCAAATATTCTGCTGCTGCTGCTGTGTTCTGAGTGGTGGGGCATTTTTTTCTACTTCTTCATTTATTAACGCATACGAAGTGCTGACAACAACGATTCGCATCAACAACATCGCATCAACAACATTTCGGGTGTGTGTACCAAAATAAAAGCAACAAATATTCACGGGGGGCGCACGACCCAGCCTACTGCAGGTACTTTCCGCAGCACGGGTTATGCTGTTGTGATGGTGCGCGCGGAGAAAACTCCCCCCACTCGGGGTCTAGTATGCTGTCTGGGAAACCGTAGACATACCGGTAGCTTTTCGCTCACGCTATGGATTGTTGCTAATCTATCTTAGACTTATTTCTATCGATAGAGATGGATTTGTTGTGTCATATTAAGAAAATAAAATAATCACATCCCTGCGTTACCCTCCTCCTGTGGGATCCAGGCTGATGCGTCAAATATATATCGAGAGGTTTCTGCTGGCGCTGATGGCGCCACTGCTGTATCATCGTGGATGGAACGAAAATACACACGATCAATCGGGCATTTGAAAGAATCAAGACATCCATATCCATACACACCCCAACAATATTGTAGCGCTACAGGAGTATTAGCTATGAGAACGGTGAAAGCAATAAGGAGTATGAAAGCAGCAACAACATGCGAGGTCCGAAGCTAACACGAGTATAGTTGTAGGAAACATACAGACACAGAGAGAACACCCGTTCGAGACAAAACCAACCACAGTCGCAAGGATGTGGTGTAGTCTTCTCAGTGAGAGGAGGACAACCGGCTGGGTACTGGACTTTCTACACTCCCTCGCGGGGTCCCAGATCATGGCGTTTAGAAGAGTGTTGTGCTTCCAGCCACACTGAGACTGGCGTATTTTCTTTGGTTAGCCGGTTGGCGCGGTCGATGCCGATAATAAAGACACACGCACAATCAATCCTGGAGTGATTGGCTTACACGGCCCGGGGAAAGGATCTATGTCCCCACATTCTCGTGCAAGTACTAAGACATGATACCACATTTTTCACCAAGAATGTTTCGTCGCGTTCAGCGAGCTACAACAACAGCAACAGCAGCAGTACCATCATGCACACTAGTCAGACTATTCCCTGGTACCTGAACGTCATCAGTGTTGTTGCACATTGCCATGTTGACCTGTTCGCTCACACCGCACACAAGCCGGTCTCGAGTTGTAGCCGAATCCGGTTGCTACTTGTGAGAGCTATTGACTCTGCTGAGTCCGCACTACATGGGTTGTATGACGTATTCTTCAGGGGGTGTCGGGTCGTGCGGTGAAAAAGTGAGTTCCTGTTGGTGCTTTGTCGTCCATTCTGGGCTCCAGTCTTGTAGTCTATTTCACCTTTCGGTATGCGTTTGATGCACCAGCGTTTCCTCCTTCTGTGCGTGCCTTCAAGCTTCAAACGCTATTAGAAGGGTTCACCCATCTCTTCCCTCTTGTACTTCGCATATTTTTGTAAATTCTCGGTATGCGGTGACTTTTACCCTCCGGAGATATCCGAATTTATTCACAACCTATGTACGAGTCAGAGGTTCACGAGAAGCAGGCTCGAAAACATGGCGACAATCACAATATTCAGTGTGATTGGGGAAAGAGGCAGTGAAGCCCCACAGCCAACGTATTCGCAGAGCCACCTTTGCAAGCTGGGTATCTCTTGTAGATATAGAATGGACTTTATCCTGAAGAACAACTAAAGTTGTACTTAGTTTTTTTCTATCCCTAAAGGTACAATGCAAAAGCAAGCATCCGATGCCGGATCGGACACCCGGGACGTTTGTGTGGGGATATGCAGTGGGTGCGAACGGCGACTTGAAGAAGACCGAACGCCCTCCAACAAACGGTCCCGTCGTCACGTGTCTTTCCAACAGCCAGGGGACATGGGGACTCCTTTTCCATGGCTGCCGATGCTTGCCCTCGCGATCGGCCTCGTGAGCCATTCGTACTCCTTGTCAAGCCTTTTTCCCTACGTGGGGTACATGGTGCAGCACCTCGGGGTCACCGACGACAAGGATGAGGCTGGTGAGTGCTACACTCGCACTCATGACTGTGTGGCTTTCTGTTGGAGTGGCACATGGCACTCTCTTGGCCGAGGGATTCGTTCATGGGAGGGGCGAGATCTTGACAAGGTGTGTTGAGTCGAGACGCATTGTACCCCACGCATTACGTGACGCGTTCGGCCGTAACAAACTAGGTGTCTTCGCGTGCCATACTGCATGTGTAACGTTGCGCTCTCCCAATCAAACATATAGTGAGCACCGCGCTAGGCCAGCAACTCACGTACACATACCAAGTCAGCTCAACACCACCGGGAACACGACATCAAACTGAATCTCCACACGTAGATAACCGTCGACCCCTCCCCGTCACCCCCGCCCGAACGAACAAAACATACGAAACGAACACCAACCAACAGGATACTACGCCGGCTACCTGGCGTCCGCCTTCATGGTTGGTCGGTTCGCCACCTCGTACTTCTGGGGCCGTTTCGCAGACCGCTACGGGCGGCTGCCCGTGGTGTACATCGGGCTCAGCTCCATCGGCGTCCTGTCTTTGGCTTTCGGGCTGTCGACCGCCTTCTGGTGGGCCCTCACTTGCCGGTAAGGGTTAGGATTAGGGTTTGGGTTAGGATTGGACCTATAGATGAGGCCTTGAGTGTATGCTCTACGTTACGCAAGATACCGCACCTCCCTGAACAAGTTCTCAGGCCGAGTGTGTAGCTTGACAGCAGGAATGGTGTTCGCGTCGATTGGGGTGGCCCTGGTAAGATCTTGTCCAAGACCTTCGAAGCATCCAATCGTTTGGTATCGGCGACCCTCTTTGGTTGGGGAGAAAACTCGACCTTCTCGATGCGTTCTTTTGCAATCATACTCAAAGGCAGCGAAGAATGCATCGACTTGAATTGCTATTCACGCCGACCGCCTCCCAACCACTAGGTTTCTCCTGGGAGCGATGAACGGCCTCATAGCTATATCTAAGTGCATGATCTCCGAGATCTGCGGGAAGCAGCACGAGAAAGTTGGAATGGGCTACGTCACAGGTAAAAGTCTAAGCCACCGCCATGCTTGAGGAAGTATAACTAGGATTCAGGACATGTGGCTAGACGCCTCGCACCTCACTCTGGTGTTTTCTACGTTTCTACTGGCAGGACGCCAATCCTCGGTAGAGGTATGCTAGGGTTATGTCAAGGTCAGAGGGTTAGTTTTGCAGTATGTCGGCTCGGGGAAACAAATGTCATCATTCCTGTTACATACTTCGTAAACAAGGAGCACACACACAATCACCACTTCTGTGCATGAGTGAGGATGCTTTTCAGAGGTTGCCAAGAGGTTGCTGCAGTCTACAGTACCACCTACATCTTATATGGACTGCACGAACCTCGTAGCGCCGGACTTATTTTCCTTCTCCCTTCCGCGCACACAAGGTGTCTGAGACGTTTCGTCTGAGTTCGAAGACCTTGTTTCGTGTGACTGTCTTGGGTTTCGACGGAAATGTAAGCGTTGGCGCCTTGGTTCTCAAGCAATGCCCTCAAAAGAAACCAACCCTCGCTCTTTCTCACAAGGCTCGCGATTTTCGCGGAGTTTTGCAGTTGGGCGTAGGCCGAGTCGTCCTTCTTACCCAACACGTACGTGTGTCCAAGCTCCTTTCAATCGGATATTCTCTCTGCAAAACCAAGGCACACATGAGAAAAAGAGGCTTCACAGTGTCAGCACACGTCGCTGGTCCTGTGTTATTCCAAAGAAAGGCTAATCTATGTTATAGGTGGAGCATTGTTGGCCCTCCAGGGTCTCCTGCATATCCAGGCCGCAGTCGAACCGGATTGGATCACGTTGGAGTGCGCCCGTGTCAACAGCTGGAGCCAGGGAATCTACCTAGCAGGCTCGCCTCTTTCAGGCCAGCGATGCATGCACAAACTGGCGGAGGCGCCACCATTGTCCTCATCGGCAAGGCCTGCCGCCGATACAACGCTCACAGCCAGGGAGAGAATATCGTGTGCCAGGCGACGGTTTTTTCATCGCCTGGCGCGCGGCATTCTCTCCCTGGCTGTGAGCGTGGTATCGGCGGCAGGCATTGCCGATAGGTCGCGCCTCCGCCAGTGTGTGTATGGTTTGCTCGCCCGAAAATAGGCGAGCGTATCAGGTGGATCCCCTGGCTCCAGCTGTTGACACGGGCGCACTCCAACGTGATCCAATGCTCCACGTCATCACCAAGTTATACATTTTCACCTGCACAGATATTGTAACAGCTTTCTCTGTGAGTTCGATTGTAGAGTGCCAAGCGTTCAATGATCACTGCAGTAGCGAGCAAGCTGCAGTACTCCAAGCGTGGATGCAATTCCAACTTCTCCGATACACTACTCCATCATCCGGTCAGTCAGGCGTGATCATCACTCACAGCCGCGTTTACAGCTCGATAGCGCTCAGATCAGCACATCTGCTTTTCGTTCTCTGGCGTCGTGAAAGTCGTTGGTCCTGCATATCTGCCGTTGTTTCTTGGCGCTGTTCTCGAATCTTTCTTGATATACTTGCCTGTACACGCTCAAATATGTATCATATACGTGGCAGCTTCATGGATCGTTCAATCGAACCGTGGAATTGCTTTGAATCCCGTATACTCATCACTCGCAAAAGGCCGGGGGAGAACCATGGTAGTGTCGGCGCTTTTCGGGGCTCAACCACCAGTGCTTGAGGTGTATTTCTTGGTTCTACGGCGGTACGAACAACGCTCTGCGTGCGGGCAAGTCCATGACGGATCCCCTGATGACCCCAACCAGCTCGTGCATCAAACAGTGGGCCATCCAAATCTAAGATGTCACTCGTCACACTTGCCGGTCAAGGTTGCTGGTCCTTTGGCCTCGTCATCGGCCCGGCCTTCGGAGGTCTACTGGCCCAACCAGCAACGCACTACCCGAACGTCTTTTCGGAGTCGGGGCTATACGGAAGGTTCGTCCATTAGCATACATGTGTTTTAGGTAGCGTGTCGTTCGTTGCTGAAACGCTGTGCGACGAGGTTTCTTCATTCCACATGTATTAAAGTTGTGCAGCCTCACAAGTTTGCGAGAGAACCCCCCGGGACCCCTGGAGCGAACGAGATCGAGGGAATCCCTGCGGAAATACAACATCACTTGGTGCCAAATTCGAACTTTTCAAGCGGGTAACGATTGTACTTCCGTACGGGGAGATCAATATTGTTTGTTGTCAGTACATATTCCCGTGAGTAGTTGGACGTTCTCGGCGTACACAGAGTTATTAGCTCTTAGCGAGAGCTGTTTCTACTGAACGTTAGTCATACCATGCCATACCTACGTAGGTACCTGGTAGATGGCATTGACAACCTACATCGCTGTCGGCCCTCCACCCATCTAGGTACCCTTACCTGCTTCCGAACGTGGTCGGGGCGAGTATAGCCTTCAGCGGCTTGCCCATGGTGTTTTTTTTCCTCAAGGAGACCACAAACTTGGACGACGGCAGGAGTGTAACCCAAAGCAGGTGAGGACATTCGCGATGAAACCATGCCCGTTCAAGGCAGACACCAGACAGGCATGGAACCTGGTAGCAGCGATAGACGACTGTACCAATATGAATTCAATAGTGCAGTGAAATTGGCATTTCAGAAAACGCCGCACGTTTGCGTTAGCCGGCCTCCCGTCGCGTCAGTCCTTGGTTTGTTGTAGGATTGACCGCCTTCAGCTGCCGTGATGCGCGTGGTCCTGTCCCTCCCCTCTCCAGCACCTGATGCTGTTGCTGTGATGCGTGTTTGTCGGTGCCCCTGAACAATGTTCCCTAGCATCGTTCCTTCGTTTGGGTCATTGCGGGCATGAAAATTGAGGTCTGTGGAAAGCCCCGTTTGTGATGGCCTGGCGTACTTTTCAGTAGCGCCCCCATCTTCTCTCCCTGGCACCGCGCGTTAACCTTAGGGTCGGGTTCGATCCTGTCGCGACATCAGAACCAAGCACCCTCCTGGAAACCCAGGACTCGGGGATGGAAGAGGGGAGGGGCGGACAGCTTGAGTTGACTCCGCTGACGCAGTCGAATTCTCTGGATGACGTGGACGACGACGAGGACGACGACGAGCATCTCGCCGAACTTCTCGAGGAACGTTCTGAGGAATGCTCCTCGGCAAGGGCTATGGTTTCAAACGCCGCTGGTGGTGATGGTGGCGGGCACAGAGCCGTCGTGCCTGATTCGAAGGGTCGTGGAGCTAGTTCTGCCCGGGAGAAATCGACTGGCGGTGCAATCAATCACCCTAGCAACGACAGGGTGGTTGCGCTTGGAGACGAAAGCGAAACCGCCAGCAAGATTGATGCTGATCGCTACCGCGTTGGCAATAGTTTCGGGGACGGCGGAAGCAACCGCAACAGCAGCGGCGATCGGTTTTTGCAGCCTCCGAGGGAGGCACCCAGTGGAGGAGCATCGCTTTCATCTCCAGTTGGACGGATTGCGACACTGGGCTTTGCGGGCAGTACCAAGGGAAGTCCTAGTGGAAGACGAGACTACATCGGAGACGACTTGGGAAACAGGGTCACCGGATTCAGCACCGAGGACGGTGGTGACGCGAGTTGTGCCGCCGGAGAGAGCCAAATAGCTACGCGTAGAAGCGCGGTCTGGCGAGAGTGTCTCGTTCCGGTTAGGCTGCTCGAGGTGAAACGTGTCCGCGCCATTCTCTTCGTGTACGGCATCTACTCGGTGAGCGAGCAACCCCACCCATTTTGAGCACGTCGTTTGATATGTGTTGTTACTGGTCATTGGGCCATTCTTCTGGGCTTCCATAGTCAGCTTTCACCCCCTATGTCTGTGAAAGCTTGTTCGCTCACCTGCATGTACATCTCCTTGAAAGATGCTTGTGTATCGCTTTCGTAGATTGCGCTCAACGTGGGAACGGTATTGTTCTTCCAACCTTCACAGAGATGGTACCACGTACAAGATTCGTCATGCTTTTCTCGGTCGCCCCTGCAAATGTCGCTCGACGGTTACGCAAGTTCGAACGAGTGCACTCAACAAAAGAACTCTCTTGTCACCCCTTACTCGATGCCACGTCCGATTATGTGCTACACTGCAGGAAACGCAACCCCTCGGTCACACACATCTCCCAACGTGCGTGTTCACCGCGCTTCGCCCCGAACACGATATTATTCACGCACCCTCAAGAACAATCATTCGTTCATGCTCTACACATGAAAGCTTCTTCCAAGATCTTCCACTCCCGATGGAACCGAATGTCCTCTCAAGCGTCAACTATTGGATCAACCGATGTTGGTTGGCACTCAGAGTTGTGTTCGCGATGCTCTATCAGGCAGACGCGTTGTCGACCGAGGGGTTGGCCCTCGCCGTTAGCGACCGCGGGCCATGCCTCCCCCACCTTCGTGGTGCTGAATCCTGCACCGCAACAACAACAACAACACTGCAACGAACCTTCCCCCCCAAAAACGGCGGAAACCAACAATGAACAAGCTTCCACACGGTGTTTATATTTTCTTTTGCCAGTTTTCGCTTATTGGCTTCGGAGAGATTTTCCCGCTATGGGCCCTCAGCACGGTGGCCAGTGGGGGCCTGGATTGGACTACGAAACAGATCGGACAGGTTTGGTTGGAAACCACCGTAACATGTTTCTCTGTGCATTCCTCGGTGGCTCACAGTAAAAACACGTCCTTCCGCCGTCGTTCCTCTGCTCGGTTTCCCGTCTCTGCCACGCGTGTTGCGTGCTGGCGCTTCTTGCTTCGGCGTGCATGCTGCCGCCTTCTATTGTTGTTGTTTCTGTGTCTTGGCAGCTTATTGACATGGGGTTTGAAGCTGTGTACCCCTTGTGGGCAATCAGCAGCGTCGGCAGCGGGGGGCTGGATTGTTCGACCACAGACGTTGGCCAGGTCCGCGACACAGCGGTGTTAATTCCGCGTATTTACGACCACCACTGCGAAGTAGGGCGGAATGCCGAAGGCTTCCATGCCGTAGAATGTATATGTGATCGAGTGTAGGACAGGCCGACGGCACAGGAAACTGTTGGTGTTATACGGTAGTACAAAAGGGTCACGACGGTGGCATAGCATTGGACCGTCAGGTTATTCCGGCAAGAGTGGACTTTTGACAATAGAAACGTCGTTTGTGGGTATACTCGAAATTCCGTCGCTCTTGTCAAGTCTGAGACCTGTCTGTTCTCTTGTGTCTCTATAAACATACGGTATTGTTTTCACGAGAAATAAAAAGTGGTGCCCAATCGACCGACGACCTTACCACTCGACCTACCACTTACATTATTCCTATCAGCTGGGGCAGGACTAGGGAATAGGACTAGGACAAAGACCTAAGACTTTCTTCGGAACTTGATTTGATCAATCGAACAACTGATCCACTATCGTTTAGTCACCCTGGGTGGCAGCGATCTCCAAGACTTGCGCACGTTCTGGCTGCCCCTCGTCTACTCTCCCTCTGATAGGGCAAGGACTATCGGTGCTAACTCCGCCTCCATTTATGCGTGTGTGCCCGATGTCGTCTCCGGACAACACAATGCAGCCGACTTACAACCGTGCCCCCTCGCACCTCCTCGCTGCCTCCCCATTTCTTTTGTTTTCATACAAACAACTCATAGGTCCTTTCGTTGGTTGGAGTGGGGATGCTGGCCTTCCAGCTTGTGGTGTACCCCTGGCTGTCGAAACGAATAGGGGTGACGAAGTCGCAGCGCTGGGCGTGCTTCCTTGCGATCTTAGTGTATGCGTTCTTTCCTTTCCTCTCGCGGTTGCGTGGCTCAGGGGTGCTGCTGGTCGTCGGCTCAATCGTCCTCAACTTCTTTTCCAACGTCACCGCCACTGCAGTGAGTTAGATCGAAACCATCAGCTTTGGTTTGTGGGCATGCATGATGACGGTGGCAAAAGGCGGAAGGTGTGCGGTAGAAAAGTTTTAATGCGGAAACCACGGAAGCAACCAAATCAGGGCTTGGTCAACATGCGTAGGAAATTTACATGTCTGTGGTCCCTATCTTTTGCGATATGTAACATCGTAGGGCCTTCTACGGTAGACACCAGCAACCAAGTACGCAATCGTCGCAATGTTGTCGTATCGCCAGGTTTTTATCAACGTCGCTCTGGCGACCAACAACGCGGTTGAACCCTCCCGGCGGGCGACCCTAAACGGGCTGTCCATGATGCTCGGATCCCTGGCGAAGGCCGCGGGCCCGGCTTTTTTCTCGGCCATCTTCGCATGGTCAATCGATGATGACGGCCGTCGGCCTTTTCCTCTAGACTACCACCTGGTGTTCTACCTCCTGGCTCTGAGGTGAGGAGGAAATGTATGTACGTACGTGGTCCTCCCTTTCTTTGAGGTTGTTTGACCTTCTTGAAAGGGGAAGGGGAGGGGGAGGAGGAGGAGAAGATGCCGTTGCTTTGCCAGTGTTGCTGCTGCAGGTGCTTCTCATGCTGTGATCTCTACCTGCTACGGCAGTTGTTGTTCCTCATGGCCTGCGAAACCGGGTGCAATCCTACGCCTGGTTGGCTGTGCACTCGTGGTTGTTTGATTCCACCAGAACATTGTTCTCTTATGCCGCTTTACATTCCGGAGTGTTGACATATTTCCGTCCATGCAGGACGTCTGTTTGTATGGCGGGCGTTTCCTCCTTGGGACGCGTGGCTCATGTGTCACCTTCCCTTCTGGGGTGGAGTTGCCTGCTCCGTAATTGGCCTTCCCTTGGCTCGACGAAAGAGGGAACCGTTTGTATCGAAATTGCCGGATAGTTGCTGGATTTCACCGCAACTTGCTGTCTCTCGCTCCCACTGACCTTAGTTTTTCGCTCACGGGTGTTTTCCCCACCCTCAGCATGACTGCCGTGTGCTGGGCGAGCTGGGACGTTATCGTCGATGATCTTCCCCCGGCGACAGGCTCCAAGGCTGCTGTTGCTGCTGCTGCTGCTGCTGCTGCTGCTGCTGCTGCTGCTACCGATGGGCGTGCTGAAGATGACCGCCCGACTTCATGATCATGTGCTGTTGCTTTTGAGACCGTTGAGGAACGCACTTCTAGAAGATGGTCATCACCGAACGAATTCTGCGGCTCGAGTCCTTCTACAGCTCAGGTCTCACGAGAGTTTTGACCAAAGAGATGTGTAGTAGAGTAAATTGCGAGTAAACCTAGAAAGATCAGTGGGCATGTGCAGCTCAGAGGAGGCACCGTAACTCTAGAGGCTGTGGCCCATGTAGGCTTTCGTTGCTTCCACAAAGTAGTCATCAAGCTCCTTACACTTCCAGACATTCCACGGTTTACTTCATTTTTCTGTTTTTTGTGTGGAGCCCTTGTTTTCGTAAGGAGGACGTCGAACAACTCTCTTGCCCGGCTGTACTGTAGGGGTGGATATTATGTACAGTTCGTTGGATGTTTTGTCCTTTTACAAAGGTTTTTGGGATTTTGTTGGGTGTATGTGTTGCAGTTCTACTTCGGAAAATCTTAATCTTGTATGCCTTGTTGGCTGAGGAGGTTTCAACATTTTGAAAACATAATTTTTGACGATGTGTCCCGAATTCATTCGCGGTTTGGTTTTAGAGGGGTATGTATCCAGGGCTGGGTCCGAATGATTCAGTTCCACGGAACATCATGGCGAGTTTCGACAACGATATGCGGTTTGGAACCCGCCCGTATTTCTTCGTTATGCTCCGTCGTTGAGGCGTGAATTTGATGCAAACCGGATGCTACCGCGGATCCATTCCGTGGTTCCATAGCGGGCAACACACGAAGGCGAGCAAGGAGCCTCAAGACGCAGGAGTCCTTGGCGCGTGAGAAGCAGTCCGCAGCATTTTCAACAGCAAGGCGAGACTGGTCGAGAAGAACACACAAGTACCTGTACCCCGCAACAACAAACCTCACGGGAATTACTTGCCTAAGCGATGCATATATATCGAGCTGGGAAGGTTTCGGGCACAACCCGTCTTGAGCTTTACGCGACGAAGGCGGGCATGAGTTGACGTATTCTGCGATGAAGGACTTCCCGGCGTGCAGCAGAACCGACCGGGGAACGACTCGGAACCAAGCTAGCGAGCGGTCTCACGCCGCGACGAAATGCATGTTTTGGCTTGGCGTGAGAGCGAGATGAGTGCCACCGCATGACAGGGCCGCTGTTTGTCTGCTGTGTGTACGAACAGACACCATATAGAAGTGACAGCCCCCAAAACGTGTAGACCCCACGGCAGCGACCATTTTCATGACCAAACTTATGTTCATGCAGCCCGTTAGGTCGGAGCTAAAACGCCTTAAAATATACTTCACACCGACACACCCACCCGTCCAGGATTCTAACCCCTTAGCGTAACAACAGTCAATCGTCACCAGGGACGGCTATAAGGCTTGTCCTGTCTACCGGGAATGTATACCAACCACGGCATGTCCAACTCCCGTAGGCCTTGGTTTGAGCGCTTCTAAACCGATCTTCCTGTCCGCCATAGGTAGTTGATCACTAAAAGTCGAAACGACTCGCTGCCGCCGAGCGACCGGTTGGGCAGCAATTGCAGCACGATGGAAGCAAAACAAAAAACATAAACTTCCGTCGCCCATCCCGACCGCTGACCACCCAAAGCCTCCGCGTGCTTACATCGATGAGATTATGAGGAAAACACAAGTAAATGCGCAAAAGGAAGCACTTCTGATCCTGTGCAGAACTACCATCCACCCGGCATTGCGTTTTCTCGAAACTCTTGACCTTTCGATCTGACAACGTCCACATACATACATCTCCACGAAGCAACATTTATTTATATATAACACTCCCCGTCAATCATCATGCTTGGCCTTCGCCGATTTGTGAGGAGGAACTCGTGAACCGCAACCCAAGCCATCGCAGTAACCTGTCCAAACGCCCTCCGAACCAAGAGTTTGACGAAATCGATTACCTTACCCGCCCTCACCAACTCAGGCATGACGTCAGGTGAATATACACAAAAAAACCGTTTCGTCTAGACTAGACTAGTCCCCTACACTCGGCAATATGCGTTACAGTTTCGTACTAGAGTTCGACGTCCAATCGGCTTGCGATCGCGCCTGCCTGCGAGATTGCCGCGGGTTTTGCTGCTGTAACCACGGCTGCGCTGCTATCGGCGGGGGGACCGGGGAGGGATTGATGCCGAAGCCGCCCCCCCTCGGCCCGAACGTCGGGAATTGCGCCTGCTTAACGGGGAGGCCGTGTGTGTACCGTCCCCATGGTGGCGCCCATATTTTTTTAGTTGTCCTCACTTCATATCAGCGTTCACAGCATTTGTGCCGTTTACTCCAACCCGTGCTCACACATAAGGGCCCCTCCCGTACGCAATGTCGCTGGCGAAGCAACCTATGATCCTTTGGGGACCTCATGTATCGCCGTCATGAAACAAACGCCATGCATACATCGTATCACCAGTACGCGTGGAATATCGGAAGAGATGTATGACGACCAATAATATCATTTATGTAGATACACGCAGCCTTGGTCACGGCGATTATACATACAGTGGGGGCCCCGGCTTAGCGACCCCCTGTTTAGCGACATGCCCTGTTTAGCGACGCCCAAATATCGTGACACCGCTGCACCCCGGTTTAGCGACCATGAGGTCGCTAAGCCGGTCGAAGCCTCAAAAGCCACTTATTGGACTGTTTTCATCAGGCACTGGCGACCATCGTTTCAATTTTTGCGGAGACCCCGCGTTCCTCCACACCCAAAGACACAACATCGCGGGACATGTATACACACGCAACATGCCGTGTGCCGATGGAAGAGTTGTGCAAACAGCCGGATGTTGAACTGCGGGCACCCCAGGGGCATGTGTGCCATGGTGGCTGCGGTGGACGCCTGCACCGAATGTGTGCGGAGGTGGAGCATCGATCGATGCACCGCACCTGCCACGAGCGTGTATCCAGGAACATGCAGGCTTCCCCACCCATCTCGAACCAACCCAAATGCAAAGAGAGATAAAAGATAGATGGAGAGGTGGCGGTGTGGGGGTGGGGAAGTGATGGCACCGCCGCCCTACTCGGAGCTTTCGCCGCATTTTGGATCGCCAGAAGAGTGCGCGGAGTCGTGTGGGTTAAGCGAGGCAGCGTACGTTCAATGTTCAAGGCAAAGATTTTGTTCATCGAAGCACACTTCGCGAAACCAGCGCGACTGACGGACATATATATGAGAAGTAGTTTAACATGATCGGTACACGGGACAGCAGCAGAATGAAGTCACAAGAAGCGCGAGGTTCTTTACCGCTTGGGCGTGGACGAACTTTCTCCGTGCCATAGTGCTATTTTTTGTTTTTGGGGGACGTTGCCAAGATTATTTCCCCTTTCCCACCTTTCTTGTCCCTCCCCTCGGTGTTTGCCATCGGGATTGGGTTTTCGCCGCTCGGCGACGACGTTGTAGAACAAGCCCCCCCCTCGGTGTTTGCCATCGGGATTGGGTTTTCGTCGCTTGGCAACGACGTTGTAAAACAAGCCAATTCACTTCGTGAACTCGGCAACCAGGTTACCGTGTTCTGTTTTGTTACCTCTGTTTTTTTTTTAAGCGGTAACCATAATGGTGGTCGAGTAGATCATGTTGTGCGGGGTGGAGAACCCTCGCTCCGCGC